ATACTTTACATAGACCTAAGCAATACAATAACCTTTGGCTCCTAACAGTATCCTGAAAGGCCCCAGCCCATAACAGATATTACATATTAAGACTAGGTTCCCTTAAATGTAAATTGATTTATAATGTATATGTATAATACTAGTTTCTTTTTTAAATTCTAAAACTAGAAGGTATATTTAGTAGTTATAATTGATTCAACTTATAATTTAACGATATATTCTAGCCCTAAATGTAAATTGATATTAGTTACACGCTTATAACTATCATTCTAAGTTTAAGGAATTGCTTATAGGTGCAAAATCGCAGACCGCTCTTTCATCTTAACCCTAGCACTTATACCCTCTCTCGGCCGCTCCCAAAGCTCCTCATGCCCAGAAAACCGAGCAACATGATCTCCGGTAAAGTTTCCAGCGACCGCAACCCGCCGTTCAGGACCATCTGCGCAAGGCCCAGCGCGGTGCTGCCAATCTCCATACATGCGACCTGAAGCAGCATGTTGAGCGGGTTTGTGAATTTAGCACCATCAGCATTCAACCCTCGTCCACGGTTAAGAAGAAGCTGTACAATTTTGACGAGGTCCCGAATCGAGGGTCGCGCGCAGTGGACCTATTCCACGGATACCGATCCCGCGAGAGGAACGACAATCCGGATTTCCCAGCGGAGTGTTACACGTGGCCTTATTCTGAAGTTGGGACTTTTCCCACAACTCCACCCTCAGTTTCGCCTGACGGATATCCGGGATTCGTCCGATAGTCTTGTGGAGCGGCGTGCCGTGGTAGTACGCGTATTTGAAGTTGACATCGGCGCCGTGATTAAGCAGTTATTCTACTAGATTTAGGTTGGCCTTGCTCCCAGCACCATGAAGCATAGTTTCGCCCTTCTTTTACTCAAAGTCTTCAAGGCCAACTTGCCGGACATAGCATAGCATAAGCTGAATCCCTGATTCTGGCTGTGAAAGGTCAAAATCTGGGGGTACCTGCAGCCAATGGCTTTGGCAGGCATGGCTCTTTGCGAATCCTAGTAGACGGAAAAGCCTTGCTGAGGGGGCTTTGCACTAGGGCTGGAGAGAAGGCGTCATAACCGCAGTAGCTTTGGGCGTAAAGATCTGCAACTCCTTCGAGAAGTTAAAGAAGCGTTTCTACAGACCCATTGCGGAAAATGCTCGCCTCAATTGCAGACTCATCGAATCCCTCAAAGTTCGGACCCACCCCCGCTTCAAGAAGGCAGTGGATCGTCATCCTACGGATTAGTGTGTGCAGGCGTGGATCCCATCCAGTGAATAATATTCTATACTTTCAAATCAACGAAAGTGCGATCCCTAAGCATAACTGATACCTATTTGCTAAATACACGTACGAATGCCTCATAAAAGCCAATCTTCTAGGCGTCATTGACTTGGGCAGGATACTATTTAGCATCTCAGTAGACATTACGCGGCCCATGGCGGGTATATTTACAGTGTCTATTACAGCCCCATTGTAATTGTTTATATTTGATGTGTCATTAGCATCCTTTCTTTTTGAAGAGCTTAGTTACTTGAGCTGCTAATAGCTGGATTGAGGGAAGCATACTAATGTTAAACTGCCGTAGTTAGCTGATTGTTTGATGTCTCACGCACGGGCACTCAATAATAGAAGCAATTTTTAGAGAAAATAAGGTTGGTCTGCACCTCACCATCCAGAATAAACTTCTTTTCGAGGCTTCCTGCAGCGACTGCTTCAGCCAATAGTTGAAACAGTGTGTTCATCGCTGTAGGATAGAGGAGATATAACCCTTCATAAAATATAGTCTTGATCGTTAGGATACAACACTTAGCAGTGTCGAATTCCTCTAAAAAATCTCTTTCCCTCCCACCAAGCACGAAGCCTATCACTGGCCATACCTGGTTAGGAGCCATAAAGTTCTGAATGTCCTAATTTAACATCTTGAAAGGTCACGAAAGTCTGAGTCATCTTCTTGCATAAGGCAAATACATCTGGTAGATAGCATGAACTTCGGGCCTGGACAAATCAATGGCCCCAGGAATTAGAAAACCCTTGACATTGATAGTACGGTTCACAGCATTGCATGTCAAATATTGTCCACATAGCTTAAAGAAGTATCACGTTGAAAGCTCTAAGAAGCCAAAATTGCACGGCAAACGCGTCAGTCCAGAAAACGACTGCCTCGATTGATTTGCGCGCGCTGACGCTCCTACCATGCCATCGGTCAAGACATGTTGAGCAAATGCTCGGAATATGTCCGCCATCCTCTTGAGCTGCTATCGTCACTTCTCTCCAATAGATACGAGTGAAGTAATCTCTAGCAACTCAGCGACCCATGTTACATAGCTTCCAGTGGCTTCTGCTCTTGTTAGGCGTGAGTTTCTGGCTCAATAGGAGCCATGTTTCCGGTGGTCAAGCTAGTCATCTTCGAATATTTTCCTAGCCATCCCTTGGATACACTGTTTTCAAGATTTTCGAGAGATCATACATTGCTATATTGGTCACGATGCCAGTGGGGATGGTTGATCAGCGCCCGATGGGGAAAGTGTCAGCATCCAATTAAGCTGACCATACTTTCACACTCCCCTCACCAAAACTTTCAACTTATGCACACAATTAAAGTGTATTAGAAATATCATATAGACGGCAATTTCCGATAATTTTAGGATATATCATCGAATCTGTGCTGCTCCCGCAAACATCAATTTTCATTGACCCAAGTTAACAACCATGTCTTTCCCTCAACTCAACTACGCCGACTACATCAGTGGAGACCCCGTCCGCCGAGAAGCCTTCGCCAAATCGATTGCACATAGCTTTGAAGTTTATGGTTTCGCTACGGTTCGTAGGTTTTGGCATTTTACCGTCACAGGACATGCAGTTTTTTGACATGGATACAACAGGTTGTGAACCATGGGGTGGCGGAGGAGGATATAAACCAGGCTTTCAGATATGTATGGGCCATAGTGTGAGATTGATAATGTTGCAAATCACTCACAAAGCTTACAGAGCCGCGAGTTCTTCGCACTGCCCCATGAGGAGAAGATGAAGTCTGAACACCCGCCCCAATCAAACCAACATAGGGGCTACAGCTGGGTGGGGCAAGAGAACCTATCATCCCTGACGCGACGCGACGCGACCGCGGGCTCGCGCCGCTCAAAGAAACCAAGGTAAAACCCTCCAGCCCAGTGCATTCACTCCACACATGTATATTAAAACATTCGCCTAGGAATCATGGGACCAAGGCGCCACCGACGACGAGTTGAACCCTAACCTGTGGGCAGCCACTGAGTCACTCCCCAGATTCGGCCATTTCATGGAGAAGTTCTTCCATACGTGCCATGAAGCAGAGGAGCGACTTCTACGCGCCGTTGCTGTGGGTCTGGGACTCGATGAGACACACTTCGATGACAAACTGACGGATCGGGTTAATGAGTTCCGTCTTACGCATTACCCGCCCGTACGCAAGAGCGATATCAGCCTCGAAATGGGAAGTCAGGCGCGCACCTCTGAGCATACAGATTTTGGTACTATTACATTGCTTTTCCAGGATTCTGTGGGAGGACTAGAGGTGGAGTCGCACGAAGAGCAGGGTGTTTTCCATCCCATTACGGCAGCTGCGCCGACCATGGTGATCAACATTGGTACGTTTCCACCGGAAGACATGAATTTATTCTTGGCTGTTTTTGCTGACACTGAGTAGGCGATTCATTGCAGAGGTGGACAAACGACCGCCTCCGATCAACAGTTCACCGCGTCACCATTCCAGTAAACGGAGATGCAATGGATGACGACATTGTCATCCCATCGCGTTACTCTATCGTTTCCTTTAAAAAGCCAAACCGAGATGTTAGCTTGTATCCCTTCCCGGAATTCTTGAAGGACAAAAAAAAAGTAAGTATGAAGATATCACAGCAGGCGAATACAATCAGAGGGGCTTGATTCGGGTCTATTAAGTGTATTGTATGGCTACGTAGATAGACTTATAGCGACATTGATCAATCTGCACATTTACTTCACACAGTTAGCTTGCTCACGACAGCAAGCCTCCTAATGATACGATGCATTCTCTGGGTCCAGCATCAAAGCTCTGTCATGTGCATTCCAGACCTTTAGAAAAAGAACACACTCCCTGATTCACTGCTAGAAAGATTTTTCAAATCTAGCCGAGTGCTCAGGCTAGCTACAGTAGACTCACAGTATCATTTGGTTAGTATTTCAGGATGTGTTCATGGAGTTCTAAAGCAAGAAATTTAAATTGAAGCTAGCCACGATTGATGAAGTAGAATGTAATTACGGATTAATAACATGGTTTCAGTACAATGCGAACAAGTACATAATCATGACTATAGAATTTTTGTGCTACGAAGTGATTGGACAATAGATGACTGCATTTCGAGATACAAATTTCTAAATCCCAACCGCACTCCAAGCATTCGAAATCCCAACCCAGATTTCTGACTGCGCCATCATACCCATCTGATGAAACCTAGCCAAAAAACAGCAAGATGCTTCCCCCAAAGTCCATCACATCTTGAAAACACTCAACTTGGCATACACTTTCAAAAATCTCATACTAATTCACCAGCCCTCATGGATCGCCTGCGTATCGGCGACACAGTTTTTTGGATGGGGAATGAGCACTCAGGCATCTACAACACCTGTATTGCGCCTAAAAGATCGAATTCCTTATTTTATGTGCCCGTTGAAGCGTTCTGCTTAGATTTATAGCATTCTAATAGAGCTCTATCGAAGACCATATTTGATGATTGACAGCAAGGCATTGTACAATACTAGCTCAAAAGCTTGTTTGCACCATTCATTTCCCACCAAAACTATGCTATTTTCACTCAAATATGTCTATACCTAGTAATTCCTTGTCTCCCCAATTACGAAATAACATCTTGGAGTTATCTAGATAAAGAAATTACCTCTCGCTACTTAGTACTTATGGTATAAATATATAATTATAAATTATTAGATTATTATATATAAAATAGTAGTTAAGCTAGTTATAGTACTTATTTTATAAGTTTACTTTATAATAAAGAGCGCTATATTTAATTTTTAAACTCTTTTTTATAACTTATAGTAGCTAGTAATAATCTGTTGGAGATATAAGCTCACCAGCTGATCTCCGATAGAACAAGTACTCAA